GGCTCAGTTGTCACAGAAGTTTTTAAGGCTACAGGAAGTAACAAAGGAACTGCATTTGTAATATCTGCATTACTTCTGATAATTTCCTTGTCAGGATTGCATTTAAGGCTCTGTGAGCTTGATTGGCAATGTCTAGGTTACCTGCTCCTGCAAGCAGGGGTGACTCACCTGGGATTTCTATAGCCTGAGCACTAACAAAGAGCCTGTGACTTCCAATCTGCCTGGGGCTCCTGTCTGCTGCCCTGTGTGCCTTTGAAGACAACATGTATTCAGAAACAGAGGGGGAGGCAGAAATAAAGGGACAGGGAGAGCAACAAGCCCAGATTAAGGTTTGGGCACCTGTGCTTCCTGTTTCTGTGTGGCTCCACTCACAGTTATAATGCTTAGATTCTTCTGCTTTACAGAGGTACCCCCTGCAACCCTTAATCCCAGAAGAAACTTTCAATAAAGCCAGTAAGTGAGGTAGGATTTGGATATGGAGAGACATCACCACAACCAAACTATGTCAGGGTAGCAAGGGATGTTGCCTGAGTGTGTAGGCAGTAGGAGGCAAGTAGGAGAGTAAAAGCACTCCATGAGCTGATAAGAATGGATTAAGGATTTGGCACTGAGCAAACCACTAGAGAAGAAGGACATGTTTCAGAAAGGCAGAATGAGAAATCACGGCCTGTGCTGTTCCTGCCCTAATGAACTGACCACTGCTGGAAACAGTTATCTCAGGGTGGTGTTGAAAACTATCTCCTATGATGGACGAGATGTTTCAGGTGTTGTAAGAAGGCACGAGTGACGCTTGCTGACACCAAAGCTCCAGAAGCACTGCACGTGATTCTCATTTTCCCTCTTACAGAGAGCAGAAGAAAAGACATAGACTTGTAATATCAGCCTGCTGTTTCAGACTCACCTACATGGGGTCCAGGCTGTTTATATAGCAGAGATACCTTGAAGCCCTTGACACCTCAGCCTCGAGTGTCTCTGCCTCCTCTCCTGTGCTGCCATCCACCAGCTGGGGATGGGTGTGTGAGGTGGGGGTGTCTGGAGCGGAGGGGAAAGGCAGGCAGACAGCTCATGTAGAAAACAGCTTTGCAATGCCTAGATCCTGCAGTTTTTTCTTTCCCCCTATTGTTAAGTGGCATTGAGCACTAGCAAAACAGGAAACTGCTTCCTCCAGCCGCTGACCCAGTGAGCTCAGGGCAGCTGCTGGCTGTGCAAAGTGGCCTCCCCACGCCACCCTGTTCCTAGAAAGTGTCGGGACATTTGGAGGAGTCTTTAAGGAAGAGCAAAACGTACCACTGAATCTTGAATAAGTAGGTATGCTTGGGAGCTCTTACAAGAAGGGAATCATACTGGAAATATCTGTTGGTAACAGTTAAAACTCTGTTTTTCCAAAGTTAGGGTTTATGTAAGCGAGAGCAATGATGTCTAAGCCAGTCTCTGTCACCTCACTAGTCTGGTAACTAACTTGACTGCCCTTTTTCTGTGATGTGCAGATCTTGTATCGGACATCATTACTTGAGTTATGAAGAAACTATTGTTTTACAGGCACAGCAGCTTTTGTTGTGATCCTTAAACCTCTGAAGTCCAGCCAGGTCTCGCCTTGCTGGGCATCCTCAACAGAGGCAGGAAATAGTGCTGGTGAGGTAGTAGGTGACCTTTTTCTTCCTGAGACACCAACACCCCACAGTATCAAGAGAATACATGTGCTGGGGTTTCTGCCCTTCTGGTGAGACTGCAAATGGAGGATAGCAATGACAGTGGCTCCCTTTCTAATTACACATTACACAGGTGATCTCTGATATCAAGGACAGTGTTATCCTCCCTGGTGACATTCTGTTGACCTAAAATTTCCACTGATTTGTTTTTGTTTAGTTGTTGGTTTTTCCTATGTTGTGATATTCTTCATTTGGTCTTTTAGAAATTTACATAGTTAAAAAAAATTCCTGTAGCCTCACTGGGAATGTCTGGTGGAAATTTTTCACAAGTGCATTTTTGTCTTTCTGAAAGTAGGACACATTGATGTGAAAGAAATGATGCTCAACCTAATCTCTGTCACCTCATTACTCTTGAGCTCCAACTTAATTACCTCCCTGATGCTTTGCACAACTCTTAACCAGACATTTTGTGTCTACTTAAAAACCTGCCATACTAAATGAACTGATGACTAGATAACGGTCTCTAGCTGATGCCTGTGTGCAGTGCAGTGTCACTTCCCAGCAGTGGTGGCAGCAGCCACAGGCCAAGGACCGAGAGGAGGAGGGGACCGGCAGGACAGCTCAGCTGTGTCACCTCGCAGGTGCACTCCTTCAGAACAGGCTGTTCTTACACTCTGCTCTGCTCGCAGCTGGAAGTTACCAGGACCAATCCAAACACGTGTTTTGATGAACATGGATGTTAATATTGCATCTCTCCTTTTTTATCTGACCACTTTCCTCCAGTGTTTTGCATTGGATTTGGGGGTATGTGAGATGGTCTTTTGCTTGCTCTGTCCTTCAAACTAAATACATATGATGACACATTGATTCTTGTCCCTAGGCCCTTCTTCACACTTTGGGAGTTAAATCAATTGGCTCTTTAATTTCATTGTTCCCAGAAGTGTTTTGAGTGCTTCAGCATTATTCATGGATTCAGGACATACATGCCATTGCAGGGTCTCCTTAGAGATCACAGATGACACCATCACTTGTACAGACGAACAACTCTGCATCTGCACTTTTCTTCCAGCCTTTTCCCCCACATTTTTTGTGAGATGAGGGCTTGTCACAAAACCACTTCAAGCATGTGTGAGACACTTGATAATATGGTAAATATACATCCTTTATCTTCCTTGACAGGGAAAATTTCTAAAATCTGGATTTTCCAGGTCTTTTCCAACAAGGTCTTTTTGTGTCTCACTCAGATAGGCTTCAATTTGCACTACAATAGTAATGTGATGCATTAGAGTTTTAAGAAAGGTATCCATATCTATTTCCTGGTCTCCCTCACAAAATATAAATCACTGTTAACATTGCTATTACACAATGAAAGTAAGTCTGTTGAACTCAAGGTTACACTTAACCTATCTTGAAACTCATTATGGGTAAATATGACCTACTATTAAATTAAAGGAGGGATTCACTAAAATGAACAGAAATGCTTAGGGAAGAGCTTAGGGTAAATGAATTGGTTCCTAAGACATAAGGAACCTCTTTCTTGAGGAGATCTTCTCTTTGAAAGTTGGCCTTCTTGCCAGGAAAAGCTTCTCACTCAGCAGCTTTCTGGTGGCATAACGTGGTCTCAGAAAGATCTTTCTAAAATGCATTGTTTAGTTCTCTGTTGGAATCTCTAAGGTATTCAGAATCTTTCTCTTTTTCAGGGTTATCAGCTGATGAGGTGAATAACACTGACTGTGCCTCTGTATCTATATTGATCAACAGGTCTCTGATCACTGTCCCCTTGCATGGCTTTTATTTCTTTTCTCTTATAAAGCAGGTTAAGACCCAGTCTCAGGACTGACATTCACTGGTGCAAATGCAACCAACTGATTGCTTTGTTGGAAATCCACCTAATACCAGACAAAAAGAGTAACTGTTTCTTCCTCTTGTTAAAACTTTTCTTCTTTACTCCCCTGGCACAGGGCTTAGGGATGTTTTGGTAGCTATTCCAGGGTTAATAGTCTTTCTGCCCAACCAGCCTCTGTTAAATGTTGGCTCTAGAAGGCTTTTCCTTTGCCTATTAATCTCAGATCTGGTGAGGCCAGTAAGGCAGTGAGGTGTGCATCTCTGTTTTCACAGTGCTAATGATAGACTTGTAAAGGGGGGGAGGCAGTTACTGGGCTTTTGCTCTAACTCTGACTTTTTCCTGTGCATAGTTATACTTTGACGTGGTATTCTTGAACTTACAGATCAAAGAGAGTTACCAGAATGATCCACTTGTGAATTGTGGGCCATTATCTGTTATTAACTCATCTCGAGCACTGTGGTGAGCAAACTGTAATTTACAGTATGTTATTACATTTCTGCTCACTGTGGTGTGCAGCAGCTGAATATGTGTGTGTGCTAGTCCATAACGAGTAGTAATATTTGCTGGCTAATTCAAATAAATCTTTGCCAACCTCTACTAAGGCTGATCAAGAATTTAATTTACTTCTAATAGTTTTGTTTTTCTGCTTCCTGCCCCTCCCACCACATTTAGGAGAGATTTCACCTTCTCCTTTTCTCTTCAGTACATGCTTGCTTCCAGGAAAACTTGGAAGCACAGCAACAACCTCCTCCAGTCCTCTGCCAGATTTCCTTCAGGATTTAATGATTCAGGTGGCTTCATTTACTAAATTTTTGCCAAAAAAAGAAAGAAAGAAAAAAAAGTAGTTCTCCACTGACACCATATAATAAAGTTGAGCAAACAGGAGGGCTGGTAGGAGACTTATTTTTATTGCCTGGCCCTGGTCACATGACAGATCAGGTTACAAAATACTAATACCCCTGCCAACTCTCAGAATCCACCAATTCCTCTTGCTACTGTTTTAATCCAACCTGCCTTTTCTTATTTTTTCTTTTATTTTGTTTTCTTTCGTCTGTTTTTTCTATATTTTTCTTTTTCTTTTTTTTTCTTTTTTTCTTTTTTTTTTTTTTTGTGAGGGCATGGGGTGAGGGGAAAGACATCAGGCTGGGGCAGGAGATAGAGTGAAAAGCGAGTATATCATGATTGGGAGTATCCCTTTAGCTCCTTCAGTGTTTGTTCAGCACTTTTTAGCCAGCTGAATAGCTTATTCCCTCAGAGTGTTGGCAGCCTTTGGCAAAAGTAAAGCAATGTCAGCATTCCCCTGCTCCATCTATTTTTTGGAAAGGGATCGTTAAAAATGTTCCATTTTCACCTTGTTTGCAAGTTGTGATTAAGGCTTCTCCCCCAATTAAATTGTGACATTCTGGCTTGAAAAACAATTTCAAGATCAGGAAGATAACCTAACACACATGCAAAAGAAAAAAAAAATCCTCCTTCTTTCTTGTGGAAAGAAATTGAGCAGTTCAGTTGAGCCACTTCTTTTATTAGCAGTGAGACAAATATATTTTCAAAAAAATTGCTGATAAAACAACAGATTTGAAAAATGTAACCTTCATGCAACTCTCTGGAGCTCTTCACAGCAGTTTCCTCTTTGTCCCTTCTTCCAGCATGCAGCAGAACCAGAGCTTTAGTGTCACAGATTCCTGCAAAGAATCTGCCTGGAGAGGTGGATGCCCTGTATCTTTGTAGAGAGTCTCTGCTGTGGCACCTACACTGCTACTGACACTTCAGCTGCATCGAGATGGGCACCACTACGGCTGCAGCAACCCTCAGCAACCGAACAGAGCAGGGAGACTAAGGGAAAAAATCCCTGTGGTGTCGTCCCACAGGCATTGATGCTTTTTGTTGTGTCAGAGGTTTAAGAGAATGACTACATATAATGCTTCTCCACCTTTATAAAGAAGAGCTATGGCACAGAGAAGTTAGGAGAGCAGTTTATGGCAACTCAAGACCTCTCTGGTGAAGTCAACAGTCAGAATTCAGGTGAGGGTTGCAGTCCCTTTGTTTCAGCTACGAGACCACCCATCTTCTCTTTTGGCAAGCATGAGTGGAAATGTACTTCTGCCTTCCAGTGCCTGTGACCATGGTAGTTTCCAAGGGGGAGTATGTTGCAATTGTTTTAGTTTTTCCATTTCTGCTCTTTCACAAGTTGCCTATAAAAACCTGCAACACTCATACATTGTCCATGTTCAGGGCTCTCTTGAAAACACAACCCTACTCTGATTTCTGACAAAACAACCTCTTGTAGTCAGGAGTGTGTTACTTCTCCAGCAACCAGCCAGGGTTGTTAGAGGAAGTATGTGTCAGCAATGACTCCATGCATCCACCCATCTTCGCTTGCTGTGCCCACTGACTGCAGGCTGGCAGGGGCAGGGACCATCGCTTCCTACACTTCTACAGGGCTTTGGCCTATCCTTACTTCCAACCACAGCACTGATGGAGTCCCCTGAGAACGCCTGTTTTCAGGAGGTTTCAATAACATATTACTCCTTTTTAATGAGATTTTTAACGCCATGAGAAACAATGGAATTTAATTTACTTAAGACATTCCTCCTCAGCTGCAAATAATAATAAGTGCAAAAGCATCAGGAGGATGCTTACAGTCCCACGATGTGGGAAAGTCGTGGTGGCTCTCTACACTTCCCCTGACTCTAACGTAATGGAGTTACCTTAATAAACTGGTAGATTTTCATAAACCATGGCCGTGTTGCAATGACCTGCTTCTTGGGTATTTATTTCCTTGTTCTACAGGCAGCTTCATTTCTGTGTGTGCAATCACAGCACCCTCTACTGCCTCCCGCCGAACCTGCAAAAGGAGTGCGAGTAACTGGACTCTTAAATAAAAGGACTTTAGGAGTGACTAGGCTTTCTGATAATCACGTGTTGTTTCATGAACGACACAACCCCCGCACCATGAGAATGATAATGCAAGGTGTTTCGGTTCTATCTAGAACGTAGGCCAGAGCTCATAAATGAACAGTACTAATTCCTCAGGGACTCAAGCACCTATCAGTCTGACAGCTGTTTTTCCTTTTAATCTGTAAGGCATTATCTTCCACTTTTGTTAGGGCCGTGGAGGAAAAAACCAGATCTATTTTCCTAGTGATAAACACGAAAAGGCGCTAGGCCACGTGACACTGCTGGGCACTCCTGCACCGACTGTCACGGGCCTGACGGAAAACTCCCACTACAGAATCCACCCCTCAGGAGCTTCAGGTGCCAGGGCTGTGGAGTGCCCTCTCGGCCCTGCCAAGCGCAGGTTTCCCCTCTGCTGTTTTTGCACAGATCCAGGAGTCTGGTTCGTTTAGTCTCACATCCCTCCCTTCACCGCCAGCCGCGCTCAGCGGGGCCCTTTGCACCAGTCCTGCCTCACGGGGGAGGAGCGGCCTGCGAGCGGCTCCCGGTGCCCGGGCACTGACACGGCGCCTCGTGGGCCAGAGAACGCGGTCTCCGGGCTCCGGGAGCCGGCGGGGCGGCTGGAACCGCGCTCGGCCCGGCAGCGGGGGCGGGAGC